TTTGCTTGCTGCGCACCGCGGGTCGGGTGCGTGGGCTGGCCGGATGTGGGCTCTTTGAACTCGATAGGGTATCGGAGGCTTGTAGGGTTTTTGCGGTAGAAAATTACCCTCAATCCGAGGACTGGAAACGATTCCTTCCGACTCTGGACATTCGAGGGATCCTCCCACGGACGTGGACGTTAGACGCGAAAAATCATACGAATTTTTTTTCCTATACGATTCTTTGTCTCTAACAACTCTAAGAACTTTTCACCGCGAGAACTGTCGAGTCTTCGCAGCCCGGCCGCCAACAAGTTTCAGGCAGGAAAACGGTTCTTGCCGTTGCAGACAATGCTGCTTTCCGTAAAGCTTTCTCTAGAGTTTTTCGCGCGTAGACACTCTTTAGATTAGGCGTACTGTAGTTGATAGGCTGATTGTAGAAAAGAAGACGAGAGGGAGCGAAAAACTGATTGAAGCGAGGCGTAAAAAATATAGAATGTTTTTAAGAATAAAATAACGTTAGTCGAAATCGGCTTAAGAGAATGAAAGCGAATATGTATGTTAGCATATATGAGATAGAGAGAAAGAGAGAGAGTGAATTAGCGATAAAGCGATAAAACGAGGTCCGAGGTGACATTAGATCATCGTCTTGTACTTCGACTTGTACAGTCCTTAGCTTTCCAAGTTTTTAAGTCATTGTTTTACACGTGTTTGTTAAGCGACTTAGCAGTAATTACTCGAGACATCTTGAGTTTCTTCCTCCATCACTTCCTTCTCTTCCTCCTCCGATGCATCTCCGTGCCCCCTCCCCCCCGTCCCTCCTTTTTGCATTTGTACTCTGCTCGTCCTTCGTGTTCGACGACAAACGAACCAACGAAGGAAGCGGAATTTGTAATATAATTCTATGGAACGAGAGACACGTACCCCGTGCGTATTGCTTATCTTTCCAAGATCAACGAGAGAGAAAGAGATAAGAGCAAAAGAAACAAGGGGGAACGATGTCGTCGGACGCTGAGGTCTCTTTTTAAATCCGCGCGCGAGGATCAATTTGTAGAATTTCGAGAATACTTTTTAAGGCAGAGGTGAAAAGAAGGCGTTTAGTATGTAATGAAAGAAAAAATTTTTAGACGTTAAGGCAAGTTGTGTCATAGTTAGTTAAGAGATCTAGGGAGACTCTTAGGAAGTCGAATAGGTGCTGTAATAAAACAAAGTTTAACACAAGAAACAAGTCAGAATTAGATTTTTCATGAATAAAGTAAATTTAAAAAATTAAAAAAAAATGAATGAAAAAGCTCGAGATAAGAGGAACGTAAAGAAAAAAAAATAAGGAACGCAACACACGTGACGTTGACGACACAAGGGGCATAAGCCACTAAAAAGTGCCCTTAGTTTATTTTGGATCGTTTAAAAAAAAACGCTAGTCTTTGTGTGTGAGAGAGCGAGCGAGCGAGAGAGAGAGAGAGAGAGAGAGAGAGAGAGAGAGAGAGAAAGATAGTAATGTGGGGGTTTTTTTAGATAGGATCTTCGAGAATAAACAGGCAAACACAAATGAAAAAAAAAAGAAAAAAGGAAAAAGGATTTAAAAAAACAATCGTGCGACAAGAGAGAGAGAGTGATAGAAAAGAGAGGGGCCGACGAAAGTGTACGAGCGAGAGGAAGAGAGTGTGCGCATGTGTGTACGTAGGTGTGCGTAACTTCGAAGAAGAAAAAAAGAAGATAACGTGTACTCTCGAAGAATCGTCATCTGCCTATTTTACACACAGCACACGCTTAAGGAATACATACAGACATACACACATACAAAAAACACACAGTTGTACAGAAAGAAAAAAAAAAGAGGGAAAATAATGTGCGTGCGCTATCGCAGAGAGTATGCACGCTCTCCGCTGCTCCTGTATTATTACCGCGTAACACCCTATGTGTGTCTCTACTATAGGGGCGTGCACTTGAATCGGTGGTCTTTTTAGAGTTACTTACGAGTAATGAAGAAACGGTTTGGTAAATAATTAAATAATTCGCGATGCGCGGGAAGAGCGAGTTCCCGGATTCGTCACGATTATCATCCCTTATTTTTGATCAATAAACGATCTGTTTTTGGGGATTTATGCCGAGCGACACGACTCTTACCTCACCCATCTGGCGTACATAGTTCTTGAAGAAAGAAATTCAGGAAAGGAGAGAGAGCGGCTCTGAGAAAAAAAGAAGCATGTTTTCATGAGATCCTTTAGTATTAATCTATTAGTATTTTCAATTTTATTTTTTTATTATTACATGGATTGTTATATTCGTACCATCGATCAGGCCTTTATATTCACATACGATATTATATGATTGAATATAAAGTCGATTTCTCGATGGACTTGTCAATAGATTTTCATTTCCAATAATATAAAAAAGCACATCATTTAGTGTAAACTAAGAAATAGATTCTCAAAAACCTCGAAGGATAAAAATTACAGTCATCACAAAAAATGATTGAGACGCTTTTTGCATAATCTATTTTTGTTAATTTTCTAATTTAAATTTTATTAACTATCAATATGACAAATTTATCTTATGAAATGGGAGAAGATCGTTTTGTTAGCGACAGAATAATACAACAAATTCTATTTGTAATTCATATATTTGTAATTAATGCTCTACGTGATTGGATTTGAATATCCTCAGTGTATTGTCTGCACCACCGGACATTATCAATTTAGGATTGGACCAATCGCAGCTGAGGACTTTGTCTTCGTGTCCTAGGAGATCAAACAGCGGTGCCTTGGGGCTAAAAAGGAAAAGTTAATTTTAATAAACTTTATATTGAATAACATTAACATCTTTTGGATTTTCAATTTATTGCAATAAATATCCGATTGTAATTTTAATTTGAAGATTTTTATCGAGTAATAAATCTATAATTTAATATTAAGGTAACAAGTTTGTAACCGAATGAAATTTCACAAAAATTTTTTAAATCTAGTATTTGAGAATAGTTTGCTAATATATTTAATCTGCAAACAACCTTCTTGTGTCCCAGAGTTTGACGATATTATCATATCCTCCTGAAATAAAGAGATGTTCGTCTATGGTTGACCAACGTACTGACGTCACCCATTGCGTGTGAGAGGTAAATCTAGCTTTGACAATCATACCTTCTGAAATACATTATTAATCGTAAGTAAATAAATAAGTTTGATATACTTGTTTATGCTAATGCACAATGCACATTAAATTTTAATAGGAAATTAAGAAAATCAGAAATTCAATGAGAAATTTTTCTAATCTAAAATTTAATATTCAATTTTATCAATAAAATTCATAATTTTGATTTTCAAAGATTAAAAAATTTGAAAAACCAACAAAAAATACCTGTAGATCTCGGATCATACAGCCTCACATGTTGATCGGCTGATCCTGCTATCACAACACGCGACAATGGCGAATAATCAATGTCAAAGAAACACTTGTCACCATATATTTCCTGTTTAATGCCGTTTAATTCGGTATCCCAAGTTTTTATAGTGTGATCCCATGAGCCTGTAATGATTTCCGTTTTGTCAGACCACACGATCCCGCTGATCGCTTGCTTGTGTCCTTTCATCGCGCATTTCGGCGTCTACGTGTAAAACAAAACAATCAATAATACTTTTCTTCATAAATTTTTTAATATTAATCGTTTACTAATAAGAATGCATCGAAAACATTTTAGTAATACGATTGACAATATCAGAATGACTATCAAGCAATTAGATCGAGAATAAGATGAACTTAATAATTTAATTAATTCAATCTGCACCTTCGTTTTATTTGCGTATTCCGATCTTGCTCTTTTCGACGCGGATTCTCCATCATTGTCATCCTCATGTGTAGCTTAAGAAAGCAAGAAAGATTTGTCTTATTAATTAATATTTCACCTTTTGCTATCAAATTCCATATTCATATATTCTAATTTTCCTTTTTTTTTTTTTATTAAGATCATATTTTTAAAATAAAAGAATCATAAGAAAGTTATGGGACACTATAATTTTTCAAGAATATATATAATATTGAGATTTGAAAAAAATAATCTTCAATTTCTTATGCTAGTATACTTACATGTTGACCAAATATATAGCATATTATCCCAAGCACCAGTTGCCATTAACGTTTTATCGTAATTAATGCTGACTGCTTCAATACTTCTTCTGTGTCCTTTGCAGATATGTATACATTCCACAAAATTCTTTGTTATATCCCAATTCCATATCATACACGTTTGGTCCATTGATGCGCTATATATGTGTGTAAAATCATTGTTAACTATCATATGTTGATATGTTTAAAAATTCACTTATATATCACGGAACGTTTTCATATTGATTTTGATGAACCTACTTTACTATGTACGAACAAAGAAGTTTACTATAGATATAATACAATATTCAAAATATATAAAATTGATGTTATTTTTTATGACAAACTACCTAACGAAGGAAGCATTATCATCATTGAGAGATATCCAAGCCACTGCCCTGACAGGAGATACATGTCCAGGAATCACAAGATGATGCTTGCCTTTCAATGTCCAAATGTGTAACATATTGTCATAAGAACCAGTTAAGATCCTAAATAAAATCATTTGAGATTAATACTCCAATTAGATACAAAATATGTTTTGAAATTGTTTTTGTAATTGTCTCAATTATTAGGTACCAACCATTTTCCACAAACAGCAACAGCTGATACCCAATCGTCATGTATTAGGCAATCCTTTGGTTCTGGTGAAGGATATTTTTCCACATATTCTACATCTATCACATCCTCTGTAGAAATTTCTCTATCAGTGATGTGTTCTATCAAAGAAGTACGTAAAAATTGTGAACATATCAGGAAATCAAACTCCACTTGGTCTTGGATATCATTCGACTCTGTGAAAAATCAATTTAATCTTCAAAATGATCAGGAAGTTTTTTCATAATTAATTAGATAATTCTATATAATTTTAATAAAAGTTAAATTAATTTAAAAATTATATATATATATATATATTTTTTTTTTTACACACAAGGAAGCATAACATTAGATTTAACAATTGCAAATTAATTAGAAGGAAATAAGGAAACAGATAATACAACATATCAAAGCAACTTTCATTAAGTCCGTTCACTCATTCTCACCTCTCAGAAGTTCATTTACCAGGGTGTTTAATTCGTCGGTGATTATCGAGCTATGGACCGATAAGGGATAATCTGGTACCGCAAATCTAGAATTGTTAAAATAAAAAATAAACTGTGAACAAATGTCTAACACTAAAAGGAAAGAATAAATTCTTACTGCTGCTGCTTAGTTATAAAACGTATTTGTATCTGAGTTTCGTCTTTATGGTCCTTATTCGTGCTCATGGCATTATCTTTCAATTTCATTTTAAGACGATTCTTCTTAATAGACTCGATTTCCATGATAATCCCTTCGAAAGGTGTTCCAAATTAATAGATTTTTAACCTCACTTCTCACCGCCACGAATTTCAAACAAGGCGTGCACACGTTGGCACTAGTTGACACGTGCAACGATGGCCAACGATAATATAGTTCGGATCTGACGTCGTTGATCATTGATCGGTCAGTCCACCGATGAGATATTATTAAAGATCGACATTCTCACGGGAATTCGCGTCCTTGAAAATATTGAAGTGATTAAGAGTTAAAAACTGATAATATTGTATTAATTTTATGATTTATTAGTTTAATAGATAAATTTATGAACACTTATGAATTTAGAACTCAATAATACTCGATTTTTCTTTAAAATTGTGATTTCAGTGTTATCGTCAAAGTTTGATTTATCAACAGAAATGATAACTGCAGAGAAAAAATTATAATTTCTCTGCAATATAAGGAAATTATAGCTTTACAAGTATGCACATTTATTTATGGAACATTTATATAATAAAAAATCATGAATTTAATAATGCATAAACCAAATATTTATGTTAATAATAGCAAATTTATATCAATTGTCGATAATGTCAGCGTTCTTCAATTACCTCCGAATCCTTTTTATACTGCCGAAAATTTGCCCAGGGTTGACGGTCTTTAATAATATCTCGTCGGTGGTCAGTCTATTTATTATTACATTTATTATTACATTATGACATTATCTTACACTTATCTGCTCATAGATGTCTCCACTGATATTTTTTAGAGTTCATCTGCCGGTTCTTACCGAATGATTGCCGACCTTGCCGACCGAACAAGGCGCGAGCGGTACTGCGTTATTTGCGTCAATTTGCGGTCGATATCGTTCTGTCCATCCGGCTCATCGTCGCTGATCGTCGTGTACGTAAAAAATACGACGATGCTGGAGCGGATGATCGCCGTGACGATCTGAAACGGGAAGTGGTAGTGATCGTTCGATACTTGTTGGTACTCGCAACATTCACCGAAATCATCGAAGAGGACGAGTCCAACGGCGAGCTGAAAAAGGAATAATCACGTGACCGAGGGTGTCGTACCGAAGTCAACCCCGACGGCTCAGCCATCGTACGTGAATGTGTGCGCTTGTGTGATATGCCGGTGTCCCACTTCTTGGTGCAATACGATACCGTTCGTCTCTTAAAACTATTTGCCTCGCGTCACCAAGGGTTCGATCGAGAACGCAGCCGTGATCGTCATCGTCCGCTACTATGTGCATTACGCATTAACAACGCATAAACACCGTGATTGAGGTGAGCCGGGGCTGTTTCTCCTTATATGTATGTACCTATGTGTATGTAAAGAGATTTATTTTTGTGCGCATTCCGAAGATCGATCTGCGAATGTATGGCAAGTGCTTTTCGATTTTTCCGTCTCCCTCCATTTGTTGGGGGAACAAGAACGTGTCGAGGACGAGATCTGAGGGTGAGTCGCGCCGTGTCGAGCTCGAAAATACGTTGAAGAAGAAAGGGGTGTATATCTTGCGTTTAGAATTCTGATTCGTTTAAGTGGAAAAATAGCTATCGCTTCTTGTTTATCTTGTATAGTTATCTATTTAAATTATCTTACAATCTGAAATAGCAAAAAGTTCGTGATGCAGATAATAAATAAAAATGTATTACTATTACTATTACTTGGATTTTATAATCAAGATATCATGTGGAGCAAAATTGCAAGTGTTGCAAGATTAACAAAGTTGTTATATAGAATCTGTCTTTAGATTACAATTCAAGAAAATAAATTAATTACATTCTGTATGTTTCTATGAAGCCATTAAAAAATTAATTAAATCCAAAAAACAATTTTTTTAGAAGCTGCTATAATTGATATTTAATGAATATCTGTTTTATATGCAGGATTTTATAACATGTGGACATAACATCAGAAATGAATTTATGATACAAAAAGTTTATAACCTATATACTATCTAATCTTGATTCTAAATTACAGATATTTTTATTTCATTAATTCTCATTACAAACTGAGCTAGCATTTTCTTTAGATGCAATATATTAAACTAACGTATATATTTTTTTCTTTTTTTCCTCTTAATGCTAGTTTGTCTTAAGTGTAAAAACTTATGTAACAGCTAAAAGAAACATTTATAAAAGTTTTTTTCTTTTTTTCAAAGTATAAATATGTATACATATATTTTATATGCATGTATTCACTTCATTCATAATTTAAAAGCAAAACAAAATAAACAGATGTGTTCTCTTAGGTATTCTGTATATAGACAATGTATAGTTGGAAAGAGTATGACCTATAGTAGCCTTTACATATATATGATTTAGTGTGATTTATATATACTGTGGCACATACAACATTAGTCTATGACATGAATATAAAATAGTATATTATGTGTCAAGGAAAAACAATTTATTTAAGATTCAAGGATATCAATTTTTTGATATAGCTCCAGATAGAAAATTATATATTTAGTTTTTTGTCTAGTAAGATGAATAATAAATTGTATGAATTGCATTAATGTTCAATATTAATTATGATTAAGTAGTTGTTATCATATTAGAAATTCATATCATTAAAATTACAATCTAGAACAAAATTTCAATATTTACATTATTAAATTGGTACTATAACTTTTTTATTTTATTTATTTATTTTGTTTTCTATTCAGGTATTTTTTTTATTAAATTTTGTTTTTATTTAAGATATGAAATTTTTTAAAAGACAAATTAGAAAACTGGTTTCTAGATAAGAAAATATGCATTAATGCTAAAAGTGGTTATTTGTATAAATATAAATTACTTCAAAATTGTGTAATAACTTTTATTCAACTTAATATATCTCTTGCATTAATATTTTCTACGCTATAAATGTAATCTTTAGACTTAGTATATAATATGTTCTTTTGTCGGTTATAGCATGTACGCACTGCAGATGCAGACTGCCTGCCAGGGCGATGGCACTGGTGAACCCGATGACCCCAGCAGCCTTCATCAGGAACCAGTGCGACCTGCTACCCAAGATTGTAGCTCTTTCGATATTGTCAGAGCCACACAGGTAATGTTAGTGATCGAATTGAAGAACGTATTTATTTTTTCAATTTATATTTTTAAAAAATTATATTATATCTTGTAAGTTTAATAAATGCGCATATAATTTTATAAATGCGCAATCCATATTACCAAATTATATGTATTTAAGATGATTGAATGAGATATATTTGCAGTATGGAGCATTGGAGCGAGTGACACAGTTGGTAGAAGCTGGTGCTGATGTGAATCAGCCAGATTCAGAAAATGTGACGTTATTGCATTGGGCTGCTATAAATAATCGTAAAGATATTGTCAAATATCTCATTGCAAAGGGAGCCGTAGTCGATGCTATTGGTGGTGATTTGGCCTCCACACCATTGCATTGGGCCACGAGGTCAGTATTTTAACAAATATTAATATTATTTAAACTGTGAATGATATACAGTTTTAATGAGAATAATTGAAATTTTTTGGAAATAAATCATTTTAAATCAGCAATGCTAATAATTTTAAGCTTTCTACAATTTTGCATACAGCCCCCATTTTTAATGTGAATTTATAAGATAGCTTTAAAAAAAAATTTTAAAAGAGATTTATTTTTCAATTGTCTTTCTAGACAGGGTCATCTCTCTGCGGTTGTGATTCTAATGAGGGCAGGTGCTGATCCAACCTTAAGAGATTGTGAAGGCTTCTCCTGTATACATCTGGCGGCACAATTTGGCTATACGGCTATAGTAGCTTATTTGGTAGCGAAAGGCGTGAATCCAAATATGCCAGATAGAAGTGCCATGACGCCCCTTATGTGGAGTGCCTATAAAGTTAATAGGTACACAGAGTACCGAATTATTATTCTACAAGTTACTCGTTTTTTCAAATAGAATAATGTTATGTTGGTTACTTTAAAGTCTTTCTTTTTATAGTCTAGATCCAACACGACTGTTGTTGACTCTAGGTGCATCGCACTCACTTACCGATAATTTGTATGGTAATACCGCCTTGCATTGGGCCATTATAGCAAAAAACAACACGGCGATATCTATCTTAGTACAACACGGAGCCTCGTTAGATCTGCCCAATTTCCGAAATGAGACGCCAATGACGCTGCTAGGTCCGCATATCAGCGCCACATGGTTAGAACATAAAATCAGGGATGAGATTAAAGAAAAACAAGGTCGTACGAGAACATGGTGTAGAGATAAGGTAATGATGATATATCATAGTATGTTATAATATTTGTGTACTTTTTCAAGTTAATTTTTCAAGACAGAATTTGAACGATTAAGCTAGACTTTTCCAATTCTTCTATGTGGTTGTTTCATTATCATATATTTTTTTTACAGAAAATTCGTTGGTATTGTATGGTCACTACGCCGCTTATAGCATTTTATGTGATTGGTATGGTTCTACAAAGTGGATGGGATTATTTATTAAAACTAGGTGCCTTTATCACTCTTTATGTAGCGGTGTATTTAATGAACCATTTCGTGTTCGACGAACGGCTGTTTCACGTTTTGCCAGTGTCGATTTATTTTGCAACCAAGGTGAGTATAATTTCAAGACGTATTCTCTAGATAACCGAAAACGTTTATGAGCGATTTCCGATAAGCTGTTAAACGTGATAAATAATATTGTCGATAAGGTGATAAGCTCAAAATCAGTGTTAACTTAATATTACATAAATATTGCAGTAATACAATAGATAAAATAAATATTAGTAGCACGTAATGAGAATAAATATTTAAATAATATAATATTTAAAATATTAATTATATAATATTAAGAAAATTTTGAAGTTGTAAATTCTCATGCTTATCAATAGATAGTTAAATGCGATTTTAATAACATATAAAATATATAAGAAGTGAAATATAAAGTATTTACAAATTATCAATATTATTATCCATATATTATAAATATATTATCTTATTTATATGCTTTATGCATTTTTAATGAATAATTACGTCAATACATTTATTGATTCACTGCTTGCTGATTTATACAGTCAATTGCAAACTGTATACTGATTTTTCTTTTTCTTTCTTTTTTTCAGATGTGGATATACATTACATGGATTTTCTGGCTAGGTATCCATGCAGCATGGTATTTATGGTTGTTATTCGTCGGTGGATCTGTTCCTCTCTGGATATGCTTTTTGCAATCTTGGCGGGGTGATCCCGGAATTATTACGGCTACTCACGAGGATAAATTAAATGTACCTCTTGTTATTTTTACATGTAAAATATTTCATGTATGTATGTATGGACGACAAATGTATGTGTATCTTTGTTTATAGACCATAATTGAATTGGCTGAATCAGGTGGTTTTGAGCCGCAATGGTTCTGCAGTAGTTGTTTAGTTCGAAGACCTATAAGATCTAAACATTGTGCTACATGTGATCGTTGTGTAGCACGATTCGATCATCACTGTCCATGGATTAATAATTGCATTGGTAGTACAAATATTCCGTATAGGATCTATGTATAATTCTTTTAATAATTCTTTTGACTAATCAAATTGCCATATCTGTAGAACTCCGTTTATTTGAATAGAGGAGAAGACATTTATAAGTCCGATAATTGAATGGTTCGAATAATAGAAGTTCACTAACTCTCTTCCTTACCAGAACTTATTAGTTCTGATAATAGAGAAGCTAGCATTCGAGCACGTCGAACTCCTGTTATCCGAATTATGGCGCCATAGTTTCAATAATAGAAGTTCAACTATAAATTCGAATATTTGAAACTGAACATGCTTGTTTCGTATAAATGGAGTGCAGATAAATAGAGTTCTGCTATATTTAAATTTTGATACTCAAATTATTTTTATTTTTATTCATTTTGTTCTCTATCTACTCTCTATCTTACTTATAAAAATTAATAAAAGTTATACATGTTTTATATGAAAATTAAGTATAAGATAGTTAAAGTAGAATAGTCGCTATTATATCCTACAATTTTTCAGGTGCACATAATCATAAGTATTTTCTTGGATTTCTGACGTCTGTGCTAGGATTATGCATCATTATTTTGTTCGCCAGTGTACAATATTGGCAATTCGAGTGCTGGTCAAATTTAACGAATGGTCATAGTGCAGACAACTATCTAGTAGCTGCAGCTACTTGCGATGCTTGGGTGATGTGGGTAGCAGCCAACACATCCCTTCATTTTTTTTGGGTCGGAACTTTGTTAGCATGTCAATGTTATCAGGTATGGTGATATAATTTTATTATGTTATATCCTTGATATGGGGTACAAACAAAAGTTCCCGGAATTGGACGAGTGAGAGAGCACATTTTGTAATAAAGTTTTAACATTCACAATAGCATTTATAATTTTCCTTATAATAAGCTGGTAGATTCGAGGTCATGACAAGGGAATCAGATTCCCTTGCGATAAGATACCGATCTGACTGTTGCACTTAGATCGCGATATATGATTACGACTTGACGCATTCACTCGACTATTATCATTTGCTCGATTTCTGCGCTTATTTCAAATGCAGATATTTAATCAGATCTGTTTTACTGAGCTGGTCAGCTGATTGGGAACTTGCCCTGGTTTTGTACAATTTTTGACATTAAATTATTTTTGATGTTCTCTTTATCGTAATTTGTAAATTTTGCGTTTTGGCCATAATTCGAATTTTAGGTAGGTAGGGTCTTTGGCAATAGTCGTGCAATCATGTTACAAAATAGATTTCTATCTATAGTTGTAACTATAACAATTATAATGATTTTTATATATTTTGTAGTTTATCATTAACAAAAATGAGAAAACTTTTGATTTTCGAATTATATTACTGTGACTATTGTAATATATTTTTAATGTGTTTATACAGATTATGGTCCTGGGAATGACAACGAATGAACGTGTGAATGCTGGTCGTTACAAACATTTCAAGCAAGGGAATCCGTTCCATCGCGGTGCCCTACAGAATGCCGCCGACTTTTGTAACTTTAGCTTTTGCGGAGTGAAGGCAAAACCTAGCTCGGACTGGTTGCACAGTTTTGATCTCAAACAAAGTATCGAAAAGTTACCTTTGCTCACGCAAAAAGATAATTTTCAATACGTTTAGAGTTCTATAAGCAGTCATGCGACGCTAATTGTACACACATACATACACCATATCACTATGCCTGACGTACTCCTTGGGTTACCAAAGAGTTGCCACAAACATGTAAGTGACTTTCCAGTGATGGCAGTAATTATGCATACACGACGATTTCGTCGAACACATATTCTCTAAGTAGCTCTATATAACAATCGCTAAATAACAATTTTTCGACTCATTTGTCGTAAAAGACTGTTATATTGCGCAAATGTGCATATCCCACCTATATTCTATTTAAATATATCAATGAATGATTAATCGATACAAATGCACAAATTTCATCATCATTTAAATTCCTCCATTGCCCAAATATATAATACATGTTATACTGAATGAGTTTCTGTATTGTTTTTTAAGCTGTAAAATTACGATTATTGATAAATGGAAAGAGATATATAAAAAAAAAATTAAGATTAGGAAAGTAATCTGTAACATAGAAATTGGGCATAGGGTTATTAATTTCTTCAATCATTTCAATTATACATGATCCTATTTTTATCTTTAATATTAAGATTTCTTTCTACCAAACTATAGGATAACTATTCTTTACATTAAACGCGTATTGTAAATATTTATCGAATCGTGCTCATTTATTGACATTTATTGATCATTCCACATCTGATTTCAATATTGCGATCTATAAATAGTAACTAACAATGATTCAACAGAAACTTGCACTTAGAGTTTGAAGGTATATATTATTCTTTCTCTCTCTCTCTCTCTCTATCTCGGTGATTATATATTTATAATTATATATAAGTAATTTAATCTACAAATCACTATGTGTGGTTATAATTACTTTATTATCGACAGAATAATTGGAAGTATATATTTCTCATTGAAAATATTCAAAGAATATTTATATGCATTTATTCTCAATGAATTCTATAATTTGTAACTGAAAAAATTGATGAATATACATAATGATAAAATTCATTGAGAGACAAGAAATAAATATGCAAATAATGTTTAAAATTCCATATAAAAGTGTAAAAGTAAAATAAATAATAAAGATATGGGGCCTATGTGACATCGCTATAAATTAGAACGCATAAGAAAATCAAATGTTGTGTGGTAGAATTATTATAGCCAAAAAGAACTATAGCTATTTATACTGTTTAGTCTATATTGTTCGTATTTGTAAGAAACTCTACCTGAATTAAGTGCCATGTTATGCTTCTTGAAATGCATTTATGTGTACACGACATCGCAAATTTTTGTTGAGATCATACTGCTATTTGTATTGGTTATTGTTGCGACTAAAATGTAATATTTATAATAATGCGATATTTGCGATTACAAATTAATATTATCAAATTATTTGTAATATTTTTAAGAATTATGTTATAACATATATATGAAGCATATCTTGTCAAAAACATTTAGATCACAAAGTCGCTTTTCATATGTTAAACAAAGAGTAAGTCTAGAGCATCGTTATGCATCAAAGAAATTATTTAAATTGACTAAATATAACAGAGAATGCTCTCTTGTCTATTGTAATTTACTATTTAACTGATAATTTTTCCAAATTATATGTACAAATTATATTGCAGAGAAAAAAATGAGAATTATTGCTTATACATTCCAATTAATGGTAGCATTTTATAAGGATGAGGATGTAGAAAATGTCAATTTATAGAATATCTCGTCAAATATTTTGATTCCGATAAGTTGATTGATGAAGAAAAAATATATTGTATTATTTTTAGATGCGCTCATGGAAATGAAAATTGCGTAAGTGTAGCATAAAATAGATTGTTATAAGTTTAGAAAAGTACGTTTTACGTTTTTCTAAATGTAAAGTATTCTTATTTTTTAGGAAAATAATTTTAATGTGATGACTCTTGATTTCGATAAATGCATATACATATAAATAAATCGATCAAAGATTGCACAGTATAGCTTTGATTTATAATTAATAAGTATAAATATATATTTAGTATATGTAATTATCTTAAATACGCGTAAGAATATGCTAAAGGAAATATCGCACATGATGTGTTTGATCGACGAAATTTTTTTTTCAATTATAAAAAATTCAGTAATGATTTATTTGTATGTAAATGTTATCCATTTTAATCTATAAATAAGTATTTTACTTTATTTTAGTTGAGTATTGATTCTAGCATAAGGACGTTATATAATTCAAGCAAGTCTTCGAGATCATTGATATAAGTTTAATATCTAAATTCGATTTTTAACGGTATTAGTTAATACGAATTTTCATCTTTAATAACTTCTTGTACAGAACGATGAAAAACATTCGTGTACAAAATGTTGAAAAACACAGATAGTTTTAATATGGATATACTTGACATAGCAATCGCACGATTACTGCAAAACGACGAGTACTCCATGTCAATGTGTTAGCAAAAGATACGTGTATAAATATTATAAATATACCAATATACATAGAAGACATATAACTAATTATATTATAATATTATTCGTATATCAGACAATTATGTTAAAAAGATTACTTCGCGTCGGACGGCTCGATTCGATTGTTACATTAATTACTTTTATTTCTCAATCTAGTCTAACTGAGATTAGTAGCAAACAATAGCATTGATATATTTTATTAACTGCTGTGTTGTGATTATTTCCTACACGGAAGCTCTAATCGTCGAAGTAAGCTGTATTAATCTTCTGTATTGTGTAATATTTGAAGATCAGGATCAAAATCGATATAATTTGATTGAATTTCACACAAGATGAATAATATGGACACATAACAATTTTCGCGTTTATTTATATATATTAAATGAAACGCGATAATTGACATAATGTTCAGATTTTTGTGTAAATTATACCGATTTCCATCTTCGCAAATCATGAGTACCAATGCGTCGTTAAGTAACCGAAATGATACGACATACAAATAATACGTTTTTACAGCCGAAAAATATACATGCAGTCATAATGAATGTTATTAACACATGCACGTTTCTTACATCGCTACATTTTCTTAAGCTCTATAAAAATAATTTTAAGATTATACAAAATATATCTTATAAGAAAAGAAAAGAACAGATGAATGAATTCATAGATATAAAAATTATAATTCATGATGCAACATCTTTATCGTTACTGTGATTTGCGAGGTAATATGAAAAATATATGTAACATACATACATTGAATGTTTGAATGTTTGCTGTTAAATTTTTGATGAATTATAACATAATATATACATGATAATGGTGCGTCCTATTATCTTTTTAAGTGATAATCGTCCTATTTTGCTTCCAACTCTGTTCGATGTAAATAAAAGTTTAATATGTCTAATACTTCACTCGAGAAAAACTCAATTTGAAGCAAAGTTGTATACATGTGTTCTGCTTTTTTCTTGAAAGCAAAATTAAATTGTGCTTTATATATTTTCTTTTTTTCTTTTTTCATCTTTCCCGCAACTATGATAAATAAAAAAAATTTTTTTGATTGCAAGTAATTTTCAGAATAACGTTCTACAATCGATTTTCAATCGATTCAATCGATAAAAAAATTGTTTGGTATAATTATTTATTTTTTTGTATGTATTTTTATAGGAAAAAAATTAAACGTATAAACATCGTTTTTTTTCATCGTGAATGGTTTCAATAATCTACAGTAAATTTTTCTTTAAAAAATTTTATTGGATTTGATCTTTGTATCTTAATTTTTAATATTAATTATCATGACTAATATCTGTAACATTTACATACAAATTTCCATACCGAAAACATAATCGAGAATAAAAATTTGAATACGGAATGTATCATAATTCATGATATAATAAAATACGATGTTTTCTTACACCATGGTATATATGACTGCAGGTCGCTTTTGTTATCGTTTTTGTTCCAAGTTTATGTTGCAGTTTGGTTTGCGTTATATTTGACATTGATGTTATTTTAATTTTTTATCTGTTTGATCGTAAGGGAATGCGTTTAACATGGTTACCGAAGAAGACTGTTCCTGCGCTGACACGACGGAACCTTCCAATTTAACATCCTTGCGTTCGGATGACGCTACCTCGGCCATAAATTCCGATATAAATGTGATCTGCACCGAAATGGTCGATAAGAGAATCGACACTGTTGAAAAACCCAAAGGCATATTGCCACATATTCTTCAAACGTTCCACGAAAGCAAACTATATGTATTATACAAAGTGTTCCAAAATCACACCAAATATTTTTTTGACAGCAGATTTTTTAGTCAAATAGTCAATTTTTTTATCAAAAATATCAATGCATAGAAAGGAGTCTATTAATACCTTGGATAAGGTCTAAATTAATACATTGTTTCAATTCATCTTGCGCAAAGTCTATTTTAATTATTTTTATTTTTGTTAAATTATTCTATATATATTTTGCAGAAACGGATTGCAAGCGTTCCGATATATCGCTAATTGCAACTTACTGCATAGCACCAGCTGATATCCCATCCACAGTTCCAGGAAGACCGGATCGACAATCACTTCGGAAAAAATCGAGAAGCCAACCACCTGCAATGCAAATTCAATCGAGTTTCCCGTGCCTCTGTCATAGCCATAAAATGTAATATCTGCCCATTGCACCTATGTATCTTATCTTGTTAGTCGATCTATTTCTTAAAGCAGATTTATCATTACAGAAATGGCTACGTTCTGCCTGTGAAACTCAAGGAAGGTACATAGAAACGCCGTCAAGATGTACCGAAAATAGTAATGATAGTTGCATTTTTCAGATAAACCGCAATCGCGTCCGTTCTGGAGCCGTTTAGGCTGGAAACGGTCGAGAAACGGCAAAAAAGACAAGATATATGAGATAAAGCTAAAACAAATACAATGTCCTCATTATGCCAAGATATGTGTAAACGACGCGTCAAAACAGCGCATCGACGTGTTGCAGTCACCTCATGAATTTCAACCTTTTATCTCCCACAAAGAACTATCGGAAGGGATACCGAGTAAGAATGCCAAGGACATTGTCAAACCGAAACCTAAATATCCAATGAAAACGAAATTCAAGAGAGAAGAAATAGCGGAAAAGATCGAGATCTATTATTTTGATCATGGAAACTCCGCGTAGGTATTAACCATTCGACGAGAATATTTCTTGAACATAAAGGATGTTCTCCAATTTGCTTCAATTTGCAAATTCTCTCTCGCAAATTCGTTTTAATATTTAGATTAATTTAAATTTTTGAATTCACTATAGCTAAAAGATCAAAGAAACGATATAATCACTCGGATGTAATACTTTTCGCAGATATTATCGAACAACCGATTGCCATCCTGTACTAATTACGGACAAATGTGCCGAAAAGACCGATCAGGCGGCAACTCGATTTTGGGCGGAGATCTTTGGCACAATTCACATCGGTATCGCCTTCGTCACAGCCTTTTTTCTGCAGCTTCTACGCTTCGTGCTCTACAGCGTGATCCGGCCGTTGACAGTGGGGATACTTCAATTAATAGCGGATTACTTTGTAAAACCACTGCTGTCTATTCTGTTCAACGCTCTCGTGCAACCGGTATTGATCCTGTTCTACAATATTGCGACGTCATTGAGGGATCTCTGCGAACCGATAGCCGAGGCGATGGGTTTATTCCTGAGGGAGATCGCAAATGTTTGCGCTGCAATCAGGATCGTGGAGGTGAAGCACGTTCATGCGCCAACCACTGCTTGCACTTGAGCTCTCATAAGCGAAAATTGGAGACTCTTAAAGATTTGAGTTTTAGTAATTTAACTAAAGACTCGAAGGATTTTCGTGAATCTGAGATCCCAATTCCGAGGAATTTTGCATTTCTGTGTGACGCACTTTCAATTCATGACCAACAACACATGCCTTAACACCAGGTATATATTTGGTATTATTTTAACTTTACAATATTATTGTATCATTTTTTACAGAACAAATTATCTCTTATAGCAACTAGCTTTGTCAATAATAATCAATGTTCGTTCTTTGTCACTTGCGCATTCTCTCGTTCGCTCTCGCTCTCTTTCATCTTCTTTCTTTCGTTCTTTCTCTCTCTTTCCCTTCCTCATGTATCTTACCATTTAATAAATTATGTACAATCTCACAAACAACAAACAGAGGAACCTAATTACATCATGTAGTTGTTCACACTTTGCTATGTACAGGTACTACTGGTATCTTTTTTCTTGTTTTTACAGAATCACTGCTTTCTCTCAATCTCTCTCGCACTCTTTCATTCTCTTTCTCTCACTCTTTCGTACTTCTTTTCATTCTTACCAGCCGATCATATCGCAATATACGTTATTTTTCGCATGTAATCTACAAAAAGAAAAAAAGGAGACAAAAAAGAAATCGAATGAACGAACGTATCGTCATCTATCGTCACCTAGTCTCAGGAACTGCAACCTCTGCTCGTTCGCTATAACGCATCGCAGCGATCTAGGTGGTACTGCTAGTGTTCGTAGTGGTCGGAGTCTCCTGGATGGCTAAGGTCTGCGAAGGCGCGGATGTCGAGTCACCTGCAAGCAAACAACCAAAGGAGGGATCAATAGCATAGAACCGAGCATATATCTCTTCGGATCATATAACGTAGTCGACTAAACATACACTTATATAATGCGCCGTATAATTGAGTTCGTTCCTTAATCGCGCAATTGATCTGTAACTAACAGGGGAGTCTTCTCTCTGCAAGTTCGTGTATTGACGTCGAACTCTACCGTTGTCGATAACGAATAATGCAGAAATATCAAAAGCACTTCCATACATAGCTTCTATTCCTTTTATAAATAAATACTCTCTAGTTTAATCTGAGCCTCGATTTAATTCAATCGTGCTTGTTTCAATGAAAAATTATAATAACGAAAAGAGTTATAGTAACGTTCCCTGAGACTTATTGATCGTCAAGAAAAAAAAGTCCACTATTCAAAACGTGCAATCCAGTCTCGGATCTCTTGCCGGCATTGCATAATCGGCATCGATCAATACCGCATCGGTGGTAACAATGGTCGCAACGATGGTTGCGGTGATAGCGTATAAAACTTACCCAAGAGGGCGGCTTCTAAGTCCCCCAGGATCTCCGTCTCCTTGGGGTCTATAAGGTTGAAGCGTTGATTAAGGAGCGTGAGGTGGGCGAATACACAATTGAGGTGAGCGTGCAACCCCAAAAGCGCCACCTCCCTGAAGTGGCAGTGGTAGATGTGTGCCACTACGTGGTACAGTAGCCGCAGGATCTTACGCACTATCGACTCGAACGAGCTCGGGAACTCGTTTGCTGAAAAACAGTGGAAATTAACATCGTCGCAAACATTGCTCTTGGACTACGATCATGTAACGTAATTACAAATGAAATCAATAATTATTAAAATGAAAGTGTAACGTTTATTAATTAATTATATTGAAATATACTCCAGACATTACGAATTAAATATGTAACGTTAAAGAGAACCTTACCATATTTTGTAGGGAATATAGTTTCATCGCTAACGGTGCGTTGCGTAAATGTCATAACATAGTCTATGTATTGTGGCGCCGCAACCCTCGTTTTCTTTCCCTTTTCGTCGAACCATAGATACGTTCTGAAATGATAAATCATTTGTCACAAATCGATTGATTGTTATTGATCCGTAATAACTTCTATGAAGCTTGAAACTCCTCGGGCAAGGAGATACGTACCTTAAGCCAGGACCGGTCATGTCGGGACAACCCGTCATGGTGCAAAACTCAGATATTGTGCCATAGACGAGATTAATATGGTCGAACAATGCGAGGGTATGCGATGCCAGCCATTCGTTGTAATCCAGGCCGGGCGGTAGGTCCACGAGCATCCTCAGGTCCAGCTCCGGTAGCTGCCTTTCGAGAGCAGCCTCCTCCAGGTACAATTTCGGATCCTCCGTGGTTCCCGCATCCTTCTCCTTTCGTCTGGCCTTTCTGTAAAACGAGAAAGCAGTCGTACGATCAGCCGAGACAAACCTCGGAAAGTTCTTTCAGTACGCTTAAGCCAATCAAGCAGAACCATGGGTGTCGCGTGTAAGAGGCGTAAATGTACATGTAACACAACACAGCCTGTGTGTAAATGAGATTAATGGGCAACGCTGTTCGAAACCAAATTGGAGGAAATCGATTTTTATTTATGGAATTTTATTATTATAAAAATCGAAGAGTCCATAATTAACTAAATTTGATTTTGAAACAGGTTATACAATGATAATAGAATATTGCAAAAGGGACAAGAGAGAGAATTGGTTTTTTTTATTATAGAATTGATTATACAGAGAAAATGACTTAAGATTAAAATAACTGAATTATACAGAGAAAATGACTTAAGATTAAAATAACGAAAATGTGCCAATCCTAAAATATAATATATAAAGAATAATATTATAGATGATATCGAATACGTCGTGTCGTTTAAAGCAAATCTCCGGAAAAATCAACAGAACATTTTTACAACGCATCATTGTCGTTTCACAGGCACGCTAATTTGTGGTCCCCAGATTGACCGGAACAGATTGGACAGAGCGTTTTGTCTTTAATCGACTGACGCGAATTCATTAATCAAATCGGCGAATTATCGGATTTGCACGATTACCCTCAACGCTTCCCGAGTCTATTCAATTTGTCTTCAATTTATCAGCGAAGCCGAACGTTGTGTCTCTCACATTACGCCCTCAAGAACGAATCGAACTCATTTGTAATATAATAAATAAGAAAATAGAGAACGTTTCTAACATTCGCTTAATTAGAAATCTTTTAATAAAAAATCGCAAAATAATGTGGCTCAGAAAATCGAAAATAATTATAAAAATCGATTGTTGCAATGCATTATTATCGTATGCAAAATAGAAATTTCATTTCATTTTTGCCAGTAAATAACGATAATATTATAATATAAAGCGCTATATTTTACATATTAATAAATATATAGAATGTTCCACTGTAATATAAGAATTTAATCAAATCTTTTTACAAAATTTTTTTTTAAAAGAGCAAAAATTTTCAGATAAAATTAATTAAAATTAAGTATACTGTTATTGAATCTTCTGAATATCACATACATTTTTTTAATAATGAAGTCAGAAGATTAAAAGTTAAGACATTGATTAATTAAACTTTCGCAAAAGGAAAGATTACTTCAAATAATTTATTATCTGAACTGTATTCAAGAAACATCCTGTATATTTAACATAAAAAAATCATATACTCAAAAAAAAATTTTATAAAAAAATAATTATTAATATATATACATATAACATATGAAAAATTACGAGATAATAAATATATAGTAAAATCTTATTACTACGCTGGTGCAAAAGATTTGATGTATTTTTCAAATAAAGTTAAAAACAAAATTATACAAAATTTCGTAGCATTTTTATTAACTAAAATAGTCATTATTGCTTCTTCTAGAAAATAAATTTTCAATTACTTTTTCGAAAAACTCAGATAAGTGTTATTTTACTTCAAAAATAAAAGGACGAATGTTTTGCACCAATATAATAATAAATATCAAGAAAGTAAACGATAGTTTTAATTAACGTGTATCGCACGCAACTAACACAAAGAGTCCTTGTTTGCACGTGAGGACTAAACATAACAACTTCAGATTTTCGGCTCGAGCTTGCTCAATACGCAGCAGCCGCGTCGTATATTCAGCTTGCTGCCAGTGAAAAATGCAATTACATGCAATAACGATAGCAGCGATGTTCAGCCACGTCTACACGATCCAAAGCGCGCACAAATCTCTCTCTAGAAAGCACACATGCTCCTGGAAAGAAGCTGCATCTCCGCATAGAAAGAAAAGTCGCTGATGTAAGTCAGCCTAGATATAAAAAAAATTCATCATCGTCCATGACGTATGTCTCTAATCGCGTACAACACAGTCATCTCAATACAACAATACTCGTCTATGACGCTATCGATGCTTTATCAGGCATAGTACGACAATTTATTACGGACACTCGATTCTTCCGAATATATCCCTTGTATCTCGCATAGAGAAGATGCGCTTTAATTACACCGGGCTAATTTCCACGTTACGGCACGCACATATGCACATATCTATACGATATCGATATCGTTTGCGGGTTGCGGTAGGAAAAAAGGGAACGGCGGAGTCTAGGGTGGAAGAGGGATAGGAAACTCACGCAACTAGCTCGCCGAAGAGCCTGATCTTCCTGTGGCAGGTGTCGAGCAAGGAGAGACGCGAGGAGGAGGCGCTGCTCGAGCTGCCGGCGCCGGTACCGGCGCCGCCGTGGTGCACCGGCGTCGGCGGTGCCGAGACGGTGGTGGCCGAGGACGCCACCGCGGCCGCCGCAGCCGCGGCGGAAACCGATGCAGAAGCGGAGGGCTCCCGTAGGACGGTGATGGCGCCGCGCGCCGGCGAGCGTAGCATCGATGCTGTCGTCTTTGTCGTCTTTGTCGTCTTTGTCGTCGCGATCGTCGTCGTCGAGGACGACCTCCTCGGCGCACCGCCCTCGTGCCCGAGGATCCGCTCACGCACGCTGGGTAGGCACCAAATCTTGTTCGTTTCTCATCGAACGATTAACAGCATGTGCCAGAACGGCTTCCTCCGAGATCTCTCTTCGGCGAAGATTCGACGGCGATCTACGCGGTCGACAAAGACCGCGAAAACGAATGCGAGAATCTCCGAGCGCGTTAAATAATTTCTTTCAAGTATCAAGGACGGAATGTGTTCGTATCAAGAGATACTCCGGAGAATCTCCTTATTTTGGCCTTCGCTACACCTGCTCCGTTAACGTCAGGCTCGAGAATTGGTCGGATTTATTATGTCTAATAAACTTTAATAATTTCTTCTAAATTCAATTCAATTTTTTCTAATAAAGTTTCTTCTCTATTGCGTGTTTTTCTTCTTTTTTTTTTCTTATTCTTCTTCAATCGTTCTTAATACTTATGTACTTTAAACGTGTTATTCAGCTCTTATAAATCCTGGTAATTTTCCTAATAATACGTTTTCACATTCCGTGCTGAAAAAACGATCAACAGTCAGCAATCACTTAACAATCGTCCGAGATCTTGATTTGTAGTGTCATTTTCCTATAGCTGTGATATTTTTTATAAAAAAAATCATGAAACTCTAAAAGACTGTTGAATAATTATTTCTCATTTAATTCTCACGCCTCTCAAATGCGTTCGGTTCTTCTAGATTTGGACTGTCCTAGTAATTTTTAATTCTCTCAAGGATCTATATGCGTAATTCTTTCCGATGATTTTCTCTCGAATAATTCCTTGAAATTAAAAGCAGCTTAGCTGAACTAATCTCGAGTTCTAGTTCGCCATGTTCATCGTCTGACGATTTGTTAGTAGTCTGATGACGGTGATGCTCGATTTAATCGGCCTGAGAAGAAAATAGCTTGCGGGAAGACGATTGAAGTTGCGAAAGATGCTCCTTGGAAGACAATCGATCTCGTTTACCGATAGTCGCGAAAGATTATTCACCGTCGATCTGAAGCAAAATTCGAGCGTTCTCTTTTGGTAAATCATTACGTCGGAGAAGTTGAGTAATAATTCAAGCAAATGCCATAGCTATACTGTGCGGATTAATATACTGATAATCCCAAAGTTCCCATTTTGATCAATGCAATGCAGCAAATAGGAGTTAATATATGAAATTATTATTTCCCGCGTACATTCCCGGGGAATCTACATTTTGAAGTATCAATAAATTGCATTTCTCCGTCTACTACTTCTCCTCACGTTCTCTCTCACCTACGTATTCTCTTGTCGTACCCTCGCGGCGATCCGCCAATTCTGAAAAATTTGGGCAAAACGCCAAGTTTCTCATTTCTCGAGCTACCGTCGCGAGTTTTGTCGCTTCGGTGTCTTTCAGGAACTGGGTTATCGCGTACACGTGCGTCCGTAATGCCACGAGGAAAAATATAGCCAGGACCCGGGGATTAGCGATTCCGGTCAGCCGAAATAGAATCGATGACCGTCTCGTGACGAGCAAGGATCGAGCGAGTTCGTGCCTTAACTAACTTTTCGCGCATGTGATTTACGCTTCGCAATATTCCACAAACGTGCAAAACTCGAAGCTATCGTGCTATAAAGTTCGGTATCGCGATTTTGTTGACGCTAATGAGCGTTGGATGTAGAAAATTCTAATTTACTGCGATATATAATATAACGTGATACAAAAGTTAAATATAATATAAATTTAAATGTAACATAAATATAATAAATTTTATTTATAGTATAATGCAAATCATTATTACGAATGTAAATTAAAGAATGTAGTGCAAACACACGATCGCGTATTTCATTCTGGCAGATGTTCGTTTTATAATTTGCCTTCGTTTTTTTCGAGCGCTTGTTTTATTGACAAAAAAGTCCACATATTATTTTTGCAAACGCATTATTTCCTGCCGCGAGTTATCGATATAAAGCTAGTAAAACGTGAACTTTGTGTTAGACGAAACTCTCATAGCACACAACAGCAAAAGTCGAGAGAGACTTGCGTTTTTTTTTCTTTGAGATTAAAACGATATATGCGATACATTGCCGTTTTTCTTACGCGAGATACTTTTCAAAGAGAAGTCGCTTGAAAAATATCTTAAAAGATAAAAATTAGAGTAACATGAAAGCGTGTGTGTATAACGTAAAATGATTTTATAATAGACGAATAATTCACGTAGATTAAAAAAATAGAGGTATGTCTCAGCGTAAGATTATCTTTTTTTAATGATTTATAATTATGACAACGCTGCAATTTCGTGACAGTAACAAGAAATAACAATGCGCACTGGAAACTTATCAACCCGGTTAGCTGTCCGAGTGGAAATTCAAGCATCGATGCGTCGCAAAGTGAACGAAATCGAGCCAAATAGCTGCCAACGATTTCGACCAACTCGACGGAGCCGTGACATGTGCGTCCTTGATCGTGACCTGGACGAGGTCACCTCGGTCGGTCC